GCTATCTGTTTCACCGACAATGAACAGAAGTATGAGTATCGCCCACTGGGGAAACACACAAATTACAGGTAGAGGGCTTGTAGCTTTAGCTGGAGCAGGTCGAATCTACGAAATTACTCTGAAAGAAGGGGAGGAATTTGTCGCACATCCAGGAAATATCGTGGCGTACACAATGAACCAAAATTTACCTCTTCCCTACCGATTAAAAGCCTCGATCTTAAAATTACAGATCCCAACCTTGGGATTCAGTAAGCTATTGCCAGATATCAAATTTTTCAGGGTTATGCAACAAACAGATTCGTGGAATTTTGTGAAGAGGATAGCTTTCACTCTGAGAACTGCAATGAGAAGGACTATCTGGGGTGATAGGCTATTTTTACAATTCAGAGGACCAACTACACTCTTAATGTCTACAAGGGCGACAAGGATTAGCGACGTTTTGACAAACAAAGATATCAATGAAATTGCGGATGCTCCACCGGGTGCCGTAACAGAAGCTATTGAATCAGCAAAGGAACCCAAGTCAATTTCACAAGTTACGAAGCAAATTAGGGATGTACCGACTGGTTTTCATTATGCGGAGGTTAATAAAGTTGGGAAAGTGAAGTTTGAAGATGCTCCTGCGAGGTAGTAAGGGAAGGATGGTGTATCAGTAGTGGAAAGGGACAAAATGTACTAGTAGGTCCATATTCTGGACGGACGAAGGGCACAAAATATACGAATATGATACGATACCTCAACTATAACCTGCCACTGCCCGTCTACCATATGTCTGCTTGGGAAAAATGTGATCTTTTCTTGAGGATTATGCTGAAGTCAGCCTTTGCTAGACTAGTTCTAATGCCCTTACAATTTACAATTATTACTCTGGTGAAATGCATATGGCTCTGATTCTAATTTCATAATCCAATTTCCTGAGACGTGGATATCTTATAAAAGTTGTGATCGTTCCCAATAATTGGGTATATCGAGACTTAGGCCGTATTGATTTCGACGGGAACAAATACTCGGTCCGTGTGGCTTCTAATTTTGAGTCCTGGCATCATGAAAATGTCTGGAAATTTGAGGAGGTTTAAATTAGGAGAAGAGTAAATAATCTTTTGCTGCCGTTTTACCCTTGGATTTTGTTATAGATACACCACATTTATTGGTTCGCTCATCATCGCTGTTTGCTTCCGCTGACAGTATTGTGTAGATCAAACAACTAGTTTGGAGTTAACTTTTTCAGTGTTATATATGGCTTGATTGTTGGAAATTTTGGCACACGGGTTCTGTATCATTTCTTCACCGTTTTGATCTTGAGCTTTCCCTCGCTGTATCTCGCTTATTGGTGTTTCTACAGCCCCTTTGCTCCGCGAAATCTTTTGCTGGGTTATGAGTTACACTCTTTTGTGTGAGTGACTTACCATGGTCTTGAGCCGTAATGCAAAGGTTTGTGTTTTTCCATGATTGCGGAAGGATTTTGATGAACCAGAGGACAGCAAAGGCCTAGGTATCCTATCAATCAGACAAAAATGAATCGTAGATGATTATCTCATTCACTCTATTACCAAATTTCACATACATTCAAGAAGACCACTACTATATTTCTAGTCTTTCCTCGCTCGCAGCTCAAAGGTCTTAGGCTCAGACATTTAAGACATGTCAGAAACATGAAAAATTTAGTCAGAAGAGTGACCGACGATAGCCAGACTGCCCAGGCAAGTCTGGAAAGAAGTTGAGCAGTATGAATTAGTACCGTGCAACGTTCTTTTCATCTGATTTCCATATTCTACGACTCAATGTCCTAGAAAGATAAGTTGGTGAATTGATACGGAGCGCTATGCAAGAAGAGATTAGTGACAATAATTATTCAGTGAATAAAGATTGTTATGGATAGCAGAATGCTTTACTATTGCTGTCGAGACTGTGTTCAACTCCACCAGAGAGACTTTGCATTATCACACCTTTTCTCACTTAAGCTAATTACGGAGTACGGAACAAGACGCACAACGTTGGGAGTCGAATTTCAGATCCCATCAAATGTTCCTTCTGGACTTCTAATGATTTTGGTGGATCAAGTCTTACAGGAAACCACTTCCTTATATACATGTCATGTCGCCTTCGCTAAAGCCTCGGCAATCATTTGCGTCCAAAGAATGCCACTGTATTATTTCTGGCTGTATTCTAGCTTTTTTCTATTCTATTCTGCAGCTATAGATCAAGTGGAGTAGACATGAACAGGTGCTCGTGATCACGCTTGTTTTATTAAATGGGAGGCGAGTGATAGACCTAGAATTCAAAGCCTGGACTTAAAGGCATGTTTCAGAATTCCAAGAACTCGGACAGTGCAAAGGCATGATTTTGAGGGTCGTTCTTGCAAGAGATTATTGTCCAGAGTGTGGGAATGATATCATCTCCTCATGAATAGACGATGAAAATGTTTGAGATGCGGCGATGGTTTTACACCTTCTGGATGATGTTGTTGTTATTGTTGTTATTGCTTTTTTCCCGTTTCTACTCTGCATGTCAATGAAAGTTCCCAGGCTTCCGTGTCGTCTTCTGAGCTACGTTGTTGCAGTCTTCCCAACCTTGAATTCTAGACCATCTTCATTGTATGCATATCCAAGTCAACAAACGCCCTGGGATCTCAAAACGTTCGTAACTTTTTTGCGTAATACTCCGACTGAGACTGTCTTGATACTTTCTTATATAGCAACGTGTCCATCCTTAAACTCAAGACCCTGCCATGCCTGAAAGCAAAATCGGAGTGGATATCGAATAGGAAAGTCAACTTTATCCACAAATTCACTTACCCCTCCCTTTCCACCCAGTAATCATGTACAACCAATTTTCTTAGTCTAAGAGTCAAAATTGGCTCAGGTGAATAATGCGGAGTCCAAATCATTGGGAGATCGATGGATTGCTATATAAACATCTACCAGGACACCAATAAACATCAAAATCGGGTTACTTGCGTCAATCAAGAACGAGATGGCGTTAAGATTGAACTTCAAGATTTCCTATATGTTGATATTGAATAATCTAGTAGGTGTTGCAACAGGGACAAACATTCCAGCCAACTCTTCCACTGGAAGTTAATCTTATTCATATCACCACATACTACATGCCTACTCGTTGTCATCTCCAACTGCTCTCGACAAATATGACAAACAGAAATTCTATTTCGAGTATTCGACAGTAAAAATAAACAAGCGACGATAAGGCTAGCTGGAATTCCAAGGAGAGGGGGAATCTCAAACAAAAACTTCAGTAATACTATAGATTTGATTTAGTTCCTTTTGTTTAAACGCTTGTCTCCTGAAGTTTTTGTAATCTGGTTGGCTGTGAGTAGTTAATTGGTTTATCCTCTTACGGTTCCTTATATAATGATATCTTGAATCCATCAACCTCTTGCCACTTGATGCAGATCTCGAGTAAAAGAATCTGGAGCCACCATCCACAGCAGACCCACCAGTCGATGATTTTTTTTTCTATACAAAAGAAAATATATAGGAAAGAGAGTCTTCCGACATTGCCGTCATCAAATCAATATAATTTCAAAGTCGTTTCAAGATCAAATTCCACACAGAGTATGCACAAAGAAATTAGAATAAACGCACCGACACCATAGAGAGCTTACAGCAGGTGTAGATATCTGCTACAGGAAATTGGGGAGATTCAAGGTCTATCTTGAGTACTTCGGAGTTTTTTTGATGCTCTAATTCAGCGTGCTTTTCTTCTGGGAGGTTAGCTTTTATAATAATAAGGAATAATATTATTATAATGATAGTGGAAGATCTAGTCAATTTAAGCTTAAGGGACAAATCGAATATATATAATAAGAATTGAATTGAAGTCAATTTATAAGAGCTAGGCTTAATTTGAATGAAAATTGCTTACTTTTTTCTAGGTTTTCTTTAAAGAATATCCTAGGTTTATATAGTTTATAATGAAATTCTAGTATGTTCTATACTTATAAATAAGATCGATTTAAATCGAATCTTATAATATCATTTTATAATAAAAAGGAAAGTATAACCAATCAAATTTAGTCAATTTATCAATGATCTTCCATATACTTCCATTTGGTTCCATTCCATTCTATTCCATTATAAATCAATTTGATAAGAGATTCTATTATATAACTATATGATAATATAATTTTATAATATAAAATCATATTATATATATATATTAGTCATCAAGATATCTCTTAATTAGTAAGATATTAATAAGCGATTTAATGGGCTTATTATGGATTTTTCACATTTCTAAATATCGCAGAGAAAGATGTCAGTATTGTCAGCAAGCTTTAAACAGCGTTTCTGCTGAAAAGCTAATTATATACATAACGTATGCGTATGTTTTCATAGTTGTATCGGTATCTAAGCGCTACATACCTCATCTGAGGATTTAGATGAATTCTTGCGGTGCCGCATAAGCTAAATCACTTACTTTCTCGAAGACAATGCCTGCCTCAGCTTTCGCCGGCAATGAATTACGGATGAGTATGAAAGCAAGAAAGATGAAAGAGACAGACCCAAGGAAACAAGATTTAAGAAATATAATAATGTTAACGATCGTTAAGATACTAATAATTCATACTATTTAGGATTACTAATTATGGAAATTTGAAAGAATGAACAGAAAGAAGAGAGATTTATAAACTATATTCAATAACTTAGTTCGAATCCTGAAATCGAATTGTAATAAAGTTAATAAAAATGATATTTTTTGAATCTAGTAAAATAACTATTATTTATTATAGTATATATATTATAATATTCTTTTATGGATTTTTTAATTTAAAATAATTTTGAAATTTCCTATTTACTATCGAATTTCTAATTAATGTACTTGGTTTTCTTAATAATTCTAATCATTTTATTTCTTTGAATATTTAAAATTAATTGAGTTATTCTAGTTATTCTAGTTATTCTAGTTATTCTAGTTATTCTAGTTATTCTAGTTATTCTAGTTATTCTAGTTATTCTAGTTATTCTAATCATTCTAATTATTCAAATAACTAGACTTCCTTCTATTCTCAAAAAGTTCATCTTAGCTAATTTATTGTAATATATAGCTTTCCGAATATCAACAGGATTCCCTTTCTTGAGAATTTCAGTTGGATCAGCCGCTATTCCAGCCTCCTCGACCAAGTTGTGTAACTCAAAGTCACATCTAACTTGTGCAATTTCCGCGCCAATTTTATCCTTCTTTGCACAAGTAGAAATTTTGCTGATTGCGATGAGTCTTAGAATGTGCTGCAGTGGGAGATCACTATCTTGGAAAGAGTGTGTCTCCGCGTCAACGTCTCGAATTACGGATTCGGTTTTTGCCTTCATAGCCTTGAAGAGGAAGACTTTAACTTGATCAGTCAGTCGTAATTTTTCCCATTTATTGTTCAACAGAGTCAAGAATAACGCATCGTCATTGATCGTACGATCAGAATATTTCCCAATTCTAAAGGTAGCCACACATGAGCGAATAGAAAGGTCAATAACTGCGGACCTCGCCTCCAGTTCCCCTTTGGACTTAGTCTCGTTAGAGGTTTCATCAGTTAGATCGATCTCCTTACGGGATTTCTTCTTTTCTGAGACCACTGATTGTGACTTGAGAGGCAATGACTTATGGGTAATCTCTTGTTTGGATTGTGCGACTAACAATTGTGGAAATGAGTTGTTTTGATCCAGATCCATGAGTGATAGCTCGTCATCCGAAGTATCTTGATGGGTATTTGGACCAAGTGAGACGTTGCTTGGAGACGAACATGATGTATCAATTGATGCAACTGGCTCATCTGAGACCTCGCTTCTTCTAATGTAGAGATCTGAATGTTCAATTGAGCCATGTGTACGTTTGTTGTATGCAACCTTTTCCCATATAGGTCCTGCAACAAGGCAGAGCAACCAACAATACCACATGGTACCGATGCACCTCTGTGGCGATGACCGTGCATATCTCTGGCATGTATCTCGAAAGAAAAGCTGGTCAATGTGAGCCCACAATCTTTTCTTGGGCATCTTAAGTATGGCAGCATTGCTCTCTCGTACTGTTGCGTCCGGTCGCCACTCCGGCCACGCGTTCCAAGCGCGGCAAGGCAGCCTCTCTTGATCGACGCTTCGTTCATGCATGCTGCAAAGGAAATGGCAGCGTTACAGTCTGTGAGGGCACCATTGATGGCGAGGATTAATTGATATAATGGGAAGATCAGAAATCTCCTATGAGTGGTCGTATACCAGTCTGGTCCTTGTGCAATGGCTGGACCTTGTCTTTTTTCTTCGAGAGCGACTAGTGTCTTGACGTGTGGGTATGCAAACTTTAGTTCAACCCATGACTTTGGATTGTTCGAAATTCCGTCTAACCCAGTAGATACCAAGATTACGGTATGGCCTGCCGGTATATCTCTCATCTTGTTCACGAACTTTTTGTCTGAACGTTCGACTCCAGCATCAGTTTTCCTTCTTCCACGCATTTGACCGGGGAATGCGATCATATCACCACACTATACCATAGACTCTAGATCCAAGGCTGGGAGTGAAGCTTTCATGTCCATACGGAATATACCAGTCAAAATACACATCTACCTCTCTACCTCTCTACCTACCTGCCCATCAAATCATCACACCAACCCTACAAATCCAAAGGAAACAAAGTTTCACTATCCATCTCCCTTAATAAACCGCCTCTACTCCTCTTCCCTGTTCTCCATCCCCAAATAAAAACGACCAGACACCTAACCCATCCTTCGGAAATTAGGGAGATCCGGAAATAGAATGTATCTTACATCTACTCCAGATCGGCACAATCTCAAACCGCGCGAAACAAAACGAAACGAAATGAAACAAAGCAAAACAGCGTGAGAAGTCGAGCAAAAATATTATATCCTCTTCATGAAATTTCTACCTCGAAGACCTATCTATTCCAAAGTACAGTACACTAATGTTCATAGGTAGATGAATGAAATGAAACAAAAAAATGAGGGAGAAGGATTCGTAGGAGTGTAATGTAACTCTACCCATCTCATCTATCAATTTAGTAGCTAAACACGACATGATTCAGAAGAGAAATGGAAAGGGAAGGGAAGGGAAGGGAAGGGAAGGGAAGGGAAGGGAAGGGAAGGGAAGGGAAGGGAAGGGAAGGGAAAAGAGGAATATATATAGGATTGCGGGATAGAGATGTCAGATTTGAGATTTGAGATGGGATTGAAAGGATGGAATAGTGTTATGGATATGTCTATGGCTGTAACTATCACGGATCGTACCCAATCGCAATTGCGATCGCTCATATACGCGCTTGCGCATGTGCACAATCACATATACATAGCTAGTATATAGGTACGCTCTACGAGCGCTTTGCTCTCAATTCTGTAATTGTAGATTCTAAGGATAAATTGTATCCTGTTCTTACAGTTCTTCTAAGGCAAAGTGTTATAGTAACTATAGTTGTAAATGTAAATACTATTTTGTATATAACGTGATTTATCATCGAGTGGACTATATTATCGAGTAGGCCACTTCAAAATACACCAAAATTAAGGCTTTTTGAATATTCGTATTTTAATAATTAATTATTATTTTAGAAAAAGAAAAAAAGATTAAATAATAATAAAAGATTAGTTTTCTAAAAATCTAGTTTTTATATAAATATTTTTATTTTATATTAAAAAAAGTGAAAATTGTTATGATTTTTGTTATAAAAAAATATTCCTAATAATAATTCTTATATTAATTCGAATTTCTAATAAATAATGAGATTTTTGTAGTATTTATATAGTTAAATTTCATAGTTTTAATTTTTAAAAAATTCTATTAATAAATAAAGAAAATGTATGATTATATATAAACGAATTTTGTATATAAAAATGATAGCCCACTTAATGATATAGTCCACTCGATGATAAATCATATTATATATTTTTTAAAATGATTAAAATGATTAAAATGATTAAAATGATTCAAATAGATAGAAAAATCTAAAAGATTTAAAAGATTTAAAAAGAAAATAATAGATATAAAATTCAAAAATCCTTTTAATTTAAAAAAATCTATATAACATACTATATTATAACGTAGTTTAACACCGAGTAACTCATATCACTAAATAGCCCACTTCAAATACATACAAAATTCGTCTATACATAATCATACACTTTCTTTATTTATTAATAGAATTTTTTGAAAATTGAATATATAAAATTTAATTATAATAATATTATAAAAATCTAATCTTTTTTTAAAAATTCGAATTAATATAAGAATTATTATTAAAATAGATTTTTTGTAACAAAAATCGTAACATTTTCAATTTTTTATTGAATATAATAAAAATATTTATAAAAAAATAGATTTTTAAGAAATTGAATTTTTATTATTATTTTATATTCTTTTATTTTTCAAAAATAATGATTAATTATTAAAATAGGAATATTCAAAAATGACCAATTTTGGTCTATTTTGAAGTGGGCTATTCGATGATATGAGCCACTCGGTGTTAAACTACGTTATATAATAAAAGCAGAAGCAAAAGCAAAATCACTCTTAATAAAACTCACAACTCAAAATTCGAAACTCAAAATATATTTCAAACATTATTTGCCCTTTAAAAAAATAACAATAACAATAACAATAATAATAACAACAACAACAACAAACCATCATCAAAATCCCCAGCTCAGCTCAATGTAATCTAAGGTCAATCAAAGAAAGAAAATACAAGTCATCAAAAAAAGTCAACCCCCAAACCAAACCCAAACCAAACCCAAATCAAAACACAAAAGAAACCACCAAAATTACCTAACTTATGTAACAACCCTATTCACTCATTCAATCAATCAATCATTCATTCAATCCATCAATCCCTCTCAATCAATCATATGTAGAATCCCTCTTCCCTTCCCTTCGCCTCCCCCCCCCCCTCCCCTCCCCGTTTCACATCTTGCAGATCTCCATCTCCATCTACCGTACGATGTACAGGATAGGTTCGGATACGCGATCTCAGGTACCAATCAAGGACAAAGTACGCTATACCATAGACAACACATACATATCTGCGTTATCACATCACATACCCGACGATCGTCGCGATGATCGGGGGTTTTAGTCGGGGGAATTGGTTTAGGGGAGTGGGAGTGGGAGTGAAAGTGGGAATTATCCTTTGGGATGAGGGAAGAGAAGAGAAGAGAAGAAAGAGGAGTGTGACTGGTGGGGTGGGGTGTGTTGTTTGTATCTGCATGTGATAAGATGAGATGGGATAACTTGAAGTTGAAATTGTGGGTGTGGGATGGATTTGAGTGGAATGGGAATGCTAGGTTCTTTGTAGGGTTATGATGTACTTTTCATACCTACTTATTATTATCTATTTACTTGCTGGTACATCATAGATGGAGGATGTGATATCATGTGATATGATATGATATGATATAACATCAATGATTTTCGAATACGTGGACGAATGAATGAATGTTGACGTTATGTTTAGGTACCTACCCTGGGTTGATGGTTGATGGTTGATTTATAATCATGATCAATTTTCAATTCTCACCAAGCTTCCAAAATATCTCATCTCTCACCAGCAAAATCTAACCTTACAGACAATAAACATCTGAATCATTCGCTGCACGATAAGTATCTAAGTAAGAGAGAAACACATGTAAGTTCGTACAATCATCGTTCGTTCGTTCGTTGATCCACAAGTACAAGTACCGAACCATCCCACCATCCACCTCAATCCAGACTCCCAAAAGTGCGTATCTATTATCGCAAGAATACCTTACTCTCTACTCTCTCCACTAGGTTTGCGACGATCCCTCTCCTTCTTCCCATCCATTATCCATGCATATCCCCCCTCTCTCGAAGAATCTGGAGAACACAAGAAAAGAAAGAAACCAAACAAAACCAAACAAAAGGTGGAAAAAGAAGCAAAAAGTAAAGAAGAACCAAAAGAGTAAAGTTAAAACACACAACCAACCCAATCACCACACAAACACGCGAAGCTAAGTATAAACCTAAGCCTTGGAATCGTATGTATCGTACGTAGAGGTTGTGCTAGAGAAGTCTGGAACGTTGGATATACATGTGTGTACTTGTAGGTATGTATGGTTTGCTTGATTGTTATTGTTTGTGAGAGGGTTGTGGTTTGATTTGGATGCTAATAATTATGATACGTACGCGTTCCACGAAGTATTATCATGGAAACCTCTAATTTGTATTTATGTTTGTAAGATAGTTTTCTGATGATTTTAATTTACAAAATCGTTTTAATTCTTTTAATTCTTTCAAATCATTTCAATCTTTAAAATCACTTTGATATTTAAGATCACTTCAATTTTTAAAGTCTTTTATTAATTGTTATAGAAATTAGGAGTCATGTGATTTGGTCAGCTATTTCTTAGTTATAAGTGGGTTAGAATAGCTTAGTATGGGGAATTAAGTGATAACTCGTGAATGGTGATTTGGTTGGTGAGGTTATTGATCTTAATGTTGTTGTTGAATCTATACCTTTTAAGCTATCATACCATCCATACATACCAACCAATTCCTATAATAATAGGTATTCACATAACAGCATAACCAATCTCGCCATCATAATCACAATCACATCTCGAGGACTTTGTAACCTATACTATCGTATACCTCGTAGTATTCCTTCACGTAACTCAACTTCGTAATCGAGAATTCTATGCACAGCCATCCCATGGCACCCGTCCATTCATGGATCTCCATCTCATCCTTCCGAATGTTCGAGGGTTCGAGGGTGCGATTGGAAGGTGTAGCTGTTACCTATCCCGCCTACGATCTAGCTAGCTCATGAAAGAATGGAAGGAGTTCATTCATTATCAAGACCGCTCGAACACCAAGCGATCCATTTGGGAGAGTATTGATTTGTTTTGGTGCTGTGGATTGTGCTGTGGGTTATATTGTATCGTGATGTAATTTTGGATTTCCTGAAAAGAGAGGGGGAAAGTTAAGGAAGATGCGAAGGGACAAGAAGGATATATAATAGTAGAATAGGAGATAATGTATAAGAGTAAGTAGATAGATTCAGATGTAAGTTTCATTACCTACGTGTCAAAGGATAAAGGATCGAACCGATCAACTCTATTAGGTAATTCTAAGAAATACTTCAAATTGTAGAAAGGATAAAAATATATTTGAAAGACATGTCAGCTCGTATTTTCTTGATTGAATATAATGCAATACAATACAATACATTACATTGCAAAATAGCCTCTCCTTTCAATACTTTTCGATCTATATTTATCTTCATCTATATCTACCACCTCCCTACCTATAAACCAGAACCTCACATCTAGATATCTACATCTGCACCTCTCCAGATAATCCAATATCCCAAACCAAAGACTATTAGATATCTAGCTCTGTATATTTGCCCATCACCTACCTGCCTGATTACCTACCAAAATACTCGCATAGTAAGACCAAGCCCAAGCCCAAGCCCAAATCAAACTATCTACCTACTAGGACCTAGATGAGTATATCTAGATGAATCGAAACAAACCATCAGAAAGGATTCAAACTCTAAACCTCACAATTACCAAAAGAATCATAACTATGACAATAAACAATAGCAATAACAATAATTTCAATTTCAATCCCAATCCCAATCCGAATCCGAATCAGGAGAAAGAGAAAGAGAAAGAGAAAGAAATGGTCTATTGCATTCTTTTCTATGGATTTTTATTATTATCTTTCATCTTCAATCAACATACCTATGTTCATTTATACATTCATTCATTCATACATTGTCAAAATTCATCATCTTCATCTAGAAATCTCCTGGAGATGATTCTTGGGGAGGGAGGGGGGAAGGGTCTAGATTTTGGTCGGGTAGGGCAGAACTCACTTGTCTGTATGATTATACATACATAGATACATACATAGATACACAGGTAGACATGTCTCCCTATAAAATGACTTGAATTGAATGGAAAGAATCGGTACGGTAAGATATAATAAAGTATCGTAAAATAAAGTAAAGTAAAGTAGAGCAAAAAAGACACAATTCAAATCGAATCGAAATCGAAGTACTCCAGAACCTATGTATGGTACGCGTAGAGAAATTCTATTTCCTATCTATTTATCTATAATAATCACCCCCTCAGTCCTCAGTATCCTTAACTTCCCGAGTCCTGATATCAATCTGTCTTGTCTTGTCTTGTCTTGTCTTGCATATCACATCACATCACCATCTACCTATACCGATACCGATTCTCCGTACCCCGTTCTCCGTACATATTTATATCATTACAGAGTATACTACGAACAGCGAAGAGAAAAGATCTAGATTCTAGCCCTGGCGAAAATAACATCCAAGCTTATAGGTACGTACCTAGGTACTCGGTAGATATGTACTTGGTTCGTAAGTACAGTGAGTAAATCCCGGTATGAGGTACAGACAATATCATCTTACCTACCTACCTACCTACCTACCTATCGGTACGTAATCCGGATTAACAAACTACTAATTACTAGGTAGTAGGTAGAGTAGGTATTTATCTTCGATCCCTTTTTTATTTTCGGGAGGAGGGGAGGGGGTAGACTTTTGACTTTTGACTTTTGACTCTTAACTTCCGACTCCATTTCATCCATTTCATCCATTACCAAAGCGCACATGTCAAAAACATCCAACATCATATACCGTATGATAGATAAGTCGGATACCTCATTTTCGGGCCACCCCTCTTTTGGGCCACCCTTTTACACCAAAAATCACTTTTTTAATTTATCAATATCTTTATTAATATTAAATATAATTTGATAAGAATTTATATATATATAATCCAAATTATTTTAAATTCAAATTATTTTAAATTCAAATTATTTTAAATTCAAATTATTTTAAATTCAAATTATTTTAAATTCATATTGAAATTTTTAGATTTTTAGGATTTTTATAAATCAATTTCTAAAATCTCAAAATATTGATTTTCAATTTATATAGAAATTATATATAAATTTAAATTTTTATAAAATCTATAATAATTTCCAAGGAAAAATAGTTAAGAATAAATTATAAAATTTAATAATAAGTTTATAATATACTTATTCTAAGAGATTCTGAAAAAATAGAAAATTCCTTATAAATAAATATTTAAAGGAATATTTTTAAAATTGTAGGAATTATTTATGTTATTTTATATTCACTGTATATTATATTTTTATATTTATTCATTTTTTTGAATTTTTTTTGAATTTCTATATAGATTCAGATTTGAAATCTTTAAAAAGATATATAATTTTCTTTTAATATTTATTATTAAAAAGTTATTCAAGATTATATAAATATTTTAAATCTATATATAATTCTTATATAAATTCAAAAATCGATATTTTGAAATTCTAGATCTCAATCCAAAAAAATTCTAAAACTTTAAAATTTTTATTATAAATCCAAAATAATTTGAATTATATATATATAAGTTTTTATTAAATTATATTCAATATTAATAAAGACATCGATAAACCAAAAAAGTGATTTTTAGTGTAAAAGGGTGACCCAAAACAGGGGTGGCCCGAAAGTAGGGTGGTCGACTTACCATAGTAATAGCAACAATAAGGTTATACTTTTCTCGACCCTTCTCAATTGTCTATAGTACATACGAAGTACGTAGTCGCCGGATTCTTCGGGATGGATGAATGGTTGGTAAGGAAGATGGGCTTTTCCCACCTATCTACGATTTAACTTTTTTCTTCATCGCGGAGTTTCGGTTGGTTGCGTTTGTGTAAGTTTGTTCCTGACTAGTTGCAAGTACGTACTATCTTTGAGAAGGTATCTAGGTAGGTGGGCAGAACTAATGTCTTGTCTTGTCAGGTGTAGTGAGATGTCGTGTAGTGTAGGTAGGTAGATAGTTATGTGATGGGGACTGGTACGTGAACTATTTTTTGGATTGTTATACATTCTACATTCATTGAAGGAGGGAGGGAGTGGGAGGAGGCATTCAAGCTATCAAGTCTGTAGGTGAACTGAGCTGAGCTGGACTGTGTAAGCTTCAAACTATCTTGACCTAGGGAATATAAGAATATAAGAATGCATCTATAAGCCATTCTATCAAAGTATATGTAAATTCGAAAAGTATATATAATATGTATCGATTAAGGGAAGGAAAGTAAAGCAAATATCTAAACCTTTTCAAATATGAAGAATACCAGTAGTCATGTATTTTATATACAAATGTCTAGTATATGGGTGGATAATAAACATAGTCATATATCGAGACTTGACGGAAAAAGGAGAAACGAGATATTAAGAAAAGGGTCTGGAAACCCTCGATTTATTATTATTTACATACATACCTACAAACAGCAAAGCACCAGACTCAAAGGTACTCAATCCAAGAGAAGAGTTACCTAGTAGGTAATAAATCAAACCCTTCATCGAAAAACTCATCTCAATATCAACATACATCCAAGATGGGAACACCAAGATCTTATTTCTTCCCAAAACAGATGGAGTGGTTCGTATCTGGATATAGAGTAGGGGACAGGGTAGACAGCGATCATTTCTAAAGATACATCGTTTGGGTATTCAGACCCTGTTTTGTGAGTGACGGTGATGGTGCTGGATCGTTCTGAAGCCATTATTAGCTAATGGGATGGAGTGACGAGCAAGTATGAAGAAAGATCCGATCAAATTTTTATACATCAACATAGGATCATGTGAGCCGACACAAGGTTCTTTTGTGAAGAACCAAAAATGATTGTCTGACAATACGGAGAATCCCAGTTTGTGGTAATTTCCCATATGCAGACCAAGCCACGATGTCTTGTGAAGTTAGCGTAGCGAGATCACTGTCCACATCTCTGCCTTCAATGTCATTTTCTCCAGTTATTGTACCGTACCGTACCGTACCGTGTGTACCCTTGAGGAGAGGGAGAAACGGTTGGTCCTCTATGGTGAAGTGATTTGTACAATACATTGTTTTATGCCCATAGGATAGTATCGCCATGTTGATGAAAAATGGAAGTGAGTGAGCGAAAAGGAAAGCAAAACAAAGTTCCGACGCGTCTTACATGTATTACTTTCCCTCACGTGCTAAAAGGGCATTGATGGAGAAAAGGAGAAAAGATGAACCCGAGGGAATCCAAGCAAGGGATAATGGATTCATAAGCGCAATGTGCTGGATGTGCGAAGTAAAGGTTCAAAGTCAAATCAAGGTTTCCTCCAGATTAGTAGAAGTCTTTTGACAGGACATACATACGATGAGAGGGAGAGATTGGACCAATGAGCGAAGTAAAATGAAGTGACTAATCATTCCTCGTGTGTCTACTCCATACCAATTTTAGGAGTCTTGGATCCGTAACCGTCTACCTGTAGAGTCTAGAGTAGATGTTTTGCAAAGCCATTCTCATTCACTCACCAACCAAGAAAGAGCAAGATGATGATGATTTCCCAGTAAACCGATCCCATTCGGTGAATCCGCCAACAATATCATCATACCTGGTATCTGAGCACCGCAACTTTAATCATCCTACGCATCTCATACGCAGGCTCAAAATGGATGCTCCACTTATATGTACATGCGTACCCACTTTACGCGTATCAGCCACTGTTATCCAATCATTTTGTCGACTAGAGAAAAGACTCAGGTACATTCAGGTACATTCAGGTACGTACTCCCGTACATTGTACAGTAGTAGTACAGTAGTATGTTGACCATTTTAACACTCATCCTCATCCTCATCTTCATCTTCATCTTCATCTTCACCCCTCAAAATAACAGTTTCCTCTCTTTTCTTTTTTCTTTTTTCTTTTTTCTTTTTTCTTTTTTCTTTTCCTCACCAGCCAGATTCACCTGTAGAATAGATTTGACTGACTGTCTCTCCACATTATAAATAAAATTTCCTTTCCCACGCACGCACATTTCATAACAATAATATCTAGGTCGTATTAGGTAATCTCCTCTTGGTAATAAATCCTATTGCCTAGTATTTCAGGAGAAAAATGAAAGAGAGAGAGAGAGAGAGAGAGGAAAGAAATGTAAAACCTTCGGTCAATACTACCTAGGTAATCAAATCGCTGCGATTCAAGTCAATTTTAATTTCATCCATCCCACATCTGAAAACTCCTCTTTTTATTTACTCATTCATAAATACTTGTATACATTATACATAATAATACATAAAATGCAAAACCCACATCCTAATTATACCTACCTACCTAGGTAAATTCAAGCATACATCACCCGACGCACACGCACACGCACACGCACACGCACATTTCCCATGCTTACTCAACTCACACTACTAACGGTCCACAGAGTGAGTCCCTAGCTACCTCTACCTAGACTCCTAGACTCCTAGACTCCTAGACTCCTAGATACCTAGATACCTAGATACCTAGATACCTAGTAACCCTACCACCTGCATCTGTATCTGCATCAATCACCCAAACCCCAAACCTATCTACTCATCATTCTCTCCCTCAATCCACCCTCCATCCCATCTTCATCTCCTGAATCAACAAATCAATCAATCACTCAATCAATCCAATCCAATCCCTTTTTTTATATCTATGAAAAGGAAATTCAATACTAACAAAAAAATATTCTTCATCGTTGACGTCGTGAGAATCAATTCTCCAAAAAATAATAATTCAATCGATCGTTTTCGATGATTTACATTCTCTTGTGTTGATTTCCTATCTCTCTCTCTCTCTCTCTCTTACTCTTACTCTTTTTTTTCTCTCCATTCCTTCTTGTTTCTAAAATACCACCACCACTCAAACATTCGTTTACCTACTTTTATTGCTTGCGGCCTTTCTCTACCACCTTCATTCCAGCATCGCCCGTCTCTTTTCTTCCAACCTTCTACACCTACACTCGACACATCCAACAACGGACGAAACAGGAGACTATTGGCCTGTCCTCTTTCTCTCCTTCCTCTAAACCATATCGAAAACAAACATCAGCAGAAAGGAAAATTCAATTCAGTCATCAAATTTGCCAACCTCTTCCTTTTTTAATCATTCGACCGACACATTACACAAATTACGATACAATCTTTTCGCAATTTAAACATCTGTCGTCGATTCACTCTCGTTCATTTCGACAATACTACTCTTTTACTTTGGATTGATCATTTTCACCCTCGCTGGTCATAATCAAAAGGACCGACTCAATATCCAACACGAGAGTAATCGAAACCCAAACCTGAAAACATTCATCACACGAACAATATCTCACCATAGACCTACCTCGTCGATATCGACATCGCCATCGCGACAGATCGTTCGATTTCAATCAACATATAACGAAATAAAGGCCAGGGCCAAATCAATATCGTCCATCCGTTCATCATGAAGTCGATATCTACTCTCGCTTTTATCGCTGCCACCGCGTTGGTTGGCAATGCAATCGCTGCACCATCTCCTGATATCATCCCTCGACAATATAAAACTTTAACATATCAAGGATGTTTCTCATCGGGTGCTGGATTGACCAAGAATTCATCATATACATACAACAGTAAAGGATATTGTCAAACACAATGTGTACCTGCCGATTACGCCGTTCAAGCAACATACAATAGTAACGAGTGTTGGTGTGGTGATGATCTCCCTCCAGCAGCCGATCTCGTCGATGATTTGAAATGTAATAGTCCTTGTGCTGGTATTGATACGGAAATGTGTGGTGGTACGAAACTTTATTGGTCTGTGTATCTTACGGGTACCGAAAGTTCAGCACCAAATTATGATCCATCTTCAGCTTCAGCATCTTCAGCATCAGCATCAGCATCAAATACTGCCACTCAAACCACATCCATCGTACCATCTGTAGTCACAGTAGGAGGTAAGACTTCGATTCTCTGCCGTCATCGTTTCTCATCTAACAATAATTGCAGGTCAAACCGTTACAGTTCAAGCATCCGATGCAGCCGCAGCATCAAGTTCCGCTTCCGCATTAGCTGAAAAGCATTCATCGGATCCAAATACAGCTGGCATCGTCGCAGGCGTCGTTGTCGGTGTCTTGGTCGCTGCTGCTATCGCTGGAGGTATCTTTATATTTATGCGTAACAGAAAGAGACGTGAAGTCGAAGAGGAATATAGAAGAAATGCAGCAGTCAACAACTTTGTCACTGGTGGTAAATCACCTATCAGCAGCAGTAGCGGTGGAGCTTCATTTACCGATACTCGACTTGATCCTACTCTTGCCAATAGAAGAATGAGTGATGGTAGTATCGCTGATAATCAAGATTACTCAAGGAGAATCCTCAAGGTATGTTCAATCACGTTGTACATGTTATCTTGGAAATATACTAACATACAGTTCAAGGTTACCAACGCATGAGTAAAGCTACATTACAACACATTTAAATCAATGTGACGAACGACGAGTTTTTCAATGTTATTTAGCTCAATTCCAATTCTTTTCGGCGTTTTCGGTCCTTAACTCCCTTTTTCTATTATTTGTGACTATAACACATGGTCCTTTTGCTTTGGGTATCAGTCCCTGTTTTATAAGGGTTCATGGTGTTTATGTGTATAGGCGTGGGGTAGAATGAGGATATGAAGAACATACTCTTTCGCCAAATTAGGAGGATTGAATTTTCCAAATAGGCATCAATTCTACGATACACTTTCAAACATTTAATCAATGTTATTGAAAAAAACCACACAAAAATCCATACCGTCCTGTCCTTTCAATTTTTTATTATTTTACTTTTCGACTTTTTAAAAAAAATAACTGCGGTTCTGATCTTTTATCTCCTTTTCGATGTTCTTTTTCCTTTCCTGGTTTATGCGAGAATCACACAATATACCCCGCCTTACGTACTTCGCACTACACAATAAACAAACGCATAACACTACAACTGAACTCCTTGTATTCTGGGGGGACCTGTGGGAGGTGAACAGATTGAGAAGATGAGGTGGAGGGAGGAGGGAAGATTGGTGTTGGTTTTGCATGGATGGTTAATACATGGATTTGGGGTTTGATATTCGAGAAGCAGATAAGAGACATTGTGAGGGAAGGGAAGGGAAGGAAAGGGAAAGGATATGGGAAAGAGATATAGAGGATTTTACTGCGAAGTTGGGGACTGGATTGGTTGTTGGTTTTTTTTGGTGGTTGAGTGGATAATACATGGGTGGGTAGGAAGGTTTTGGGGAAATTGACTGGTGTAATAATGATAGTGAAGATGAGAAAATAGGAATTGAAGAATGGGGAAGAGAGAAAGAAAGAAGAGTGTGTGATGTGATGTGACGAGAAAATGGAGATGGTGAGAAAAGTACTTGGTACTTGGTGGATGAGGGGGTAGTAGGAAGGAGGAAGGGGGAAGGGGGAAGTACTTAGGTAGTGAGTGGAGTAGTAGTATATTAAAGTCAATTGAAATGTTCCTTTTGTTTTTGCTTTTTTGTTTCTTGATATTTGATTGATGGATGGTTGAGTTGATTTGATAGATGGTTGGTTGGGGGTGAGGGAGGGAGTGAGTGAGTGAGTGAGTGAGTGGATGAGTAAGCATATGAATAATTATATGAGTAAATAAGTAAGCGAGTAAGTAAGTAAGTGAGTAAATAATAAATGAGTGAGTGAGTGAGTAAATGAGTGAGTATATGAATAATTATATAAGTAAGTAAATGAGTAAGTAAATAAATAAGAGAGGAAGTAATAAGTGAGGGAATAAGTGAGTGAATATATAAATGAGTGAATATATAAATAAATAACTTAATGAGTGAGGGAGTGAGTAAAGGAGGGATATGTTTTATATATATATATGAAATCTCCTCTCAAGTCAACGGTAGGATGGGAGGATACATACATGACAACATTAATCAGCCTCGTAGTACCTCGCATCTGGACTGGACCTGGACGGACAGCTATGGAATTTTGGTGGATGGGATTGGGAATGTGAATGGTGCTTTTTTTTGGTGGTGGTGGTGGTGGCGGTGTTGTTGTTGTTGTTGTTGTTGTTGTTTGTTTTTAGAAAAGATGAGGAGAGGAGAGAGAAAGACAATTCTCACTTGAACTTTTCAATCTGTATTTGTTTCTATATCTATAATTGAGAGGATGGAGAAAAGGGGAGAGGGAAGGGGAAGGGGAAAGGGGGGGAGAGAGAGAGAGAGAGAGAGAGAGAAATAAATGGATTTATTAAACTGTGAATTTTGAGACTTGTGCTTTGTTCGTGCCGTTCCGTGAGTATGTATTGTTGGGGATACCTAGATAGTTGTTTGTTGGAAAAATCTGGAATGAATGTGTGCTTTTTTTTTTTGGAAAGCAGGATATTTATTTTTTTCGGTGTGCTTTTGAGGGAGATTAATTTATTAAAATGTGTGTATGTGTATATCTATATGTGTATGTATATGTGTATGTGTATGAATATGTGTATAGGATGGGTTGGTTTGGTTTGTGATGATTAGATTGTGAGATTGTGGAGGGGAGACGAGGGTATGCAACATCTTCATTTCGTCACTTCTTACTATACTGCGAATACTAAATGCGTATCATGAGATCAAGCTACGAGGGTGATTGATTCCCCTTCCATTCTTCCGAGGTGGAGAGCCGTCGTGCGATGCGATATGATATGATATCGAGCTATTTGAGTGGTGAGGAGATACTATACTGTGTTGGGAGCGGGAAAATGGGGGAGGGAGGGATAGCAGCATATCGAGATTGAGCTCTGGGGATTGGATAGATTTTCTAGATTGGTGGGAGGGGGATCGTGGGTTGGGAAGATGGTGATGATGATTCGCTATCTCATCTTACCTCCCCGTCTCTATTCTAAATAAAACAGATGGATACTCTAGAATATCCACTGGTAGAGCAGCACCTAATTATGAGATACTAGAATAAGTTAATGGCGCATGCTCACGGCTTTAACACATAATCTATTGAGTCGAGTCTGATGGCATAGTTTTGTGCTTTTGTATATTGCCCTGGGGAGTTTGTGGAGATGGATAGATGGATTCAGAAGGACTGAGGATGTGAGTATGAGAATTCACTGTGTCTCTTGGTTTTTCTGCTCTTCACGGTACGGTTTACGGCATTCACTATATATACGTCTAGTGCTTGCATGCTATTCTTAGTAAAATACCTTTGGACCTATATAATGCCCCACAACACCATCTTCTTCCCTGTCAAATCAGAATACCGAAGCATTCAACTGTGCTGATCTAGGTCGCTCGATTCTGAAACGATATCAAAATTGAGGTGCACGATCTGAAGAAAATGTATGTATGCTCTGGAAGAATATCAGATAGAGAAGAATGAGTGGGGTTGTGAATTCGGGGTATGGGATTCATTGTCATCTGTTTGGTGTTTCATTATCGACAAGTTCTTTTACTGTTGTCAATTTGGCGGATGTCTGGGTACCAACTGACAATGTGAGTTTTCATTTCCATCGAGTAAATTTGGTGGGATCAATGATTGTCGTTACGTCACTCATCTCCTCCTTTCCTTGCAGTTTGCTTGACGGCGGGAGGTCGAACCTGTGAAGATTATGTAGATCTGAATTGTGAGAGTGTATGAGGTTGATGTCAGGTAGAAGTCTCTCTTCTGTAGTCGCAAATCAGTTTTCCTGGCATGCACACACCTCGATACATAGTTTACTAGCTCGCTTGAGTATTTCTCGCTTGATGTATTCATACCTTGACATTTTCATGACTCCTGAGTCTTGAATCGAAGATTCACTCATCTAGTTGTATAAAATCCCTCATTCTCACTCTTCAAGATTTCTATTCGAGTAAAGAGTAAGTGATGCCAATTAGATTGTTGATATCCTCAAGTACAAGAAGCTTTCAGAACAGAAGATTTCTGGGGTGGATTTTGGGTAGGTTGTGGAGCTCTTGTGGAAGATTTGCTTTGCTTGTTGTCGTTGTTAGGCTTGGTATGCGATGAGATAAGCTGCAATAAAAGTATAAGATATACTCGACAGGAGTTAAAACGATTGAATCTGTGAGAACTTACAATTAGAATGCTTTATTTCCATTCAAGCAATTTGATTGCTTGTTGATATGCCAAGATCCCATCTCTAGAGCGTTTCCTGCGTACACGATTCGGCGGTCTCGGTCAATATTCATGGAGTCAATATGATAATTGAGACTGTCTTTTTATATTGGAAAGGTGAGCTGTCTGAAATGATCCTATCTTTATTCACTGCATACTTTTCCTGTTTTGCTTGGTATGCAATATATACTATACCTTCAAGGAATTTGAACTATTCCAAACTAGTGAGAGAAGTAGATGAAGTAAAGTGCTCATATCATAATTCTTTATGTTTCAACAATCGTTGTTAGAGATATACATGGTTCTTGTTAGGGAAATACATCGGTACCATGTGATATTATTAGTTGCTCTGCCTTGTCCCAGGATTCATATGAGAAAAGACTGTATATAATTGATGATGTTAATTTGATTGATCAGTGTAAGTACTTTATTCTATTGTGGTTGTATTCGTTCTTGATTATTATTATGAATGGGAAGCTAGTGCTTAATATAGGGAAGCGCTAACGCTATGCTAGCTGATACAGTGCCCTCTTTGATCACATGATCGATGTCCCGACACCTGTTGATGTTCGAAAAGCCATGTACTATGAGAGATTGACTCGGATAAACTTTTCGAGGGCGGGAGGATATTGGCCACTTGCACTGAGAAAGATCTGGTAAGTGTCATCATCACTAGTTCAATAAATACAAGAGTGAGCACTAAGGTGTTACAGAAATCATTTCTCGATGATTGCTGGAAACAAAAGAGGATCGGCATCAAGATTTCTCAATTGATAGATTCCTTTGGGAGAGGAATTTTGTTCCTTTATCCATTCATCATGCCCAAACTCCAGAAGGGAGGAGAAAACAAGATCGCATTCAAAAAGTGGTCAGTTGCTCGTGTTAGTGTGCTATGCACTTTGATACACTCATCAAAAAGTGCTTTTGCAAAGAATTTGAAAATCTTAGCCAAGGCATTTGAGCCATTCGTTCAAGAATTATCTAATGATCTCGAAATTCAAGCCTTGTTGAAGAAATTAGATAGCCAAGATCTGCATCCAAAAGGCCTTGAAGATTCCCGGTACCAACACTCTAGCAGCGATGCTAGTGATAAGTTGCAAGTACTTTTCGAGGAATTTCCTGGTACTTCATCTGTTTTCTTCATAGGCACATCATCAAATCCAGGCTTGACCATTCCCCTGGAAGATCTACAGAAACTTGCTGCAGGAAGCTGGATTTCGGATACTGTTGTAGATGCAGTCATGCATCTATATCATGAGAAGAAGCCAAGGGATTTGTACTTGTTGAGTTCGTCCAACCTCGAAATATTCAATAGCGAGCCAAAGGAGATTAAAAAAGGTCTTTGTAAGATGTATATTGATTTGAATCAAGGCCCTGGTTTATATTTCATTTAGTATGTATATCATTCTCTATACTTTAACTTGATTTCTGAGAGATTATATTAATATTGAAATATAGAGTACTTTACGTCAAGGCCTTTAGAAGTCACTGGACCACCCAACTTGCACAAATTACCACACCAGTTGGACCCAAAGCAACTATCTCGATCAATATCAAGGTGTGGGATAGCCCTGACACTAGACACACGCCGACTTTGGATTTCCAAAGATGGCTAACGGAAGTCCTCATGTTGGAACAAGACCCAAGACAGTCAAGTGTTCAGTACAAAGAATGAACTTTATACGACGATTGAACTTTGATGATTGTGGAATCATTGCCTTGAATAACGCTATCGCCATTTACAATGGTCAAGCTGATACAGAAAAGTTTTCGGAGGAATGGAGTCGTCAAGAAAGGTACTGATCTTGTTCCATGATGGTGCAACATGCGAAGAAATTGTGTTGTATAAGGATTAAATAGTCTAATGAGAAGATAATCGAGCTTAGTGAAAGGAGAACTGATTTTGATAGGATCGAATGTTTCAGAATGCAATTTTCGATGGCTGATGAAACGAAATGGAAAGTAAAGGAAAAGATAGAGTAGATATTTGAACTATAATTAGAATGATTAGAATGATGAGAAGGATTAGAATGATGAGAAGGATTAGAATGATTAGAATGATTAAGAGAATGAAGAGAATCAAGAGAATCTATAAAAAGCTTTAAATGATTTAAATACTTTAAATACTTTAAATCATTAGAATTGATAAAAATCAAATAAAAGCTTCAAATATTAAATTTTGAAGGGAGAACAGCTTGATATGAAATCATACTATATGACGTTAGCATCGAATTGTTTATTATCACACATCTCATTAAAATTAGAATTTTTTAATTTCAATGATATTTCAAAAACCCTCTCTTTAACCTAAATATTTAGGCTCAATAAGGCCTTTAGCTTAAGTTAAGTTGCAGGGCTTATTAAGTCAAATGAATCTTGCATGAGGTGCACATACTTGTCAAGTTACGAATTTGACCATTCAACTTAAAGTATGCACAAGCCAAAGAGTTGATTGAGAAGGATACGGATGACGTAGCACCTACGATTTGTAGGTCTTAAATGTCATTGTTGTATTCTATCTGAAGAGCTAGCTATTTCAAGGTTATACATAGAAAGTAAGCCGGGCTATTGAAAGAGCTAGTCTCTTCCGCATTCTCTTAGGCTTAGTACAATGGGTATTGAATTGAAGTCATTGACCTTCGTTCATACACAAATAGCTCAATGCGGATATATCACTCCCCAGTTCTTACATCTATGCATATCACGATCTGCCAATATGGAACATAAAGATGGGCAATGGGCAGGAGAAAGTGAAAATGCATGGGAAGAAGTGAGTATGTATATTCTGAAAGTATAAGTAACAAGCCCCGAAGCCTAAAAGAGAAAGCCTTGATCCAGCTTGCTATGATGAACGAGTTGTAATACATGACTTGATATGAGTTGAATCATCTACAGGTATGGATACGACATAATACACCAAAATTACAATATCAAGACTTGAGACACTCTAGAAATCGAGTAGGGATGTAAAATCCTCCATTAATCCTCACCATATCGTTAAAACATCATCTTTTCTGCAACCTAACATCTTCTATCTTTAACCCATCATGCTCCTCCTCAACTCTCTTTACTCCTCTTTCCTCCCTCTAAAAATCAAATTCAGACCCTCGTAATCCACAATCGCTACATCATTCAACTGGTACTCTTCTGCCCTCATCCACCTCGTTGTCTTCCCACTGTATTCCTGCCTAAACATTCCTTGCTCTTCAATAGCGAGTTCAAAACCAAAGTAAGAAAGGGCTCCAGTATAACTAAACTCGCTTCCTGATAATCATACCTTTCCAAGGCATGATGTTCAACTCAGACCAAACAGTGTGTGCTTCTCTAACAGTTCTCATCCTCATGATATCCCATCTCTCTGGGTCCTAACAGAACACTTCAGTGAGTATCCCTTATTGTTAATAGCGCAGGGATTAAAACCTATTACTATACTTTTTGCAATAATATGCCCATTTGCTACCAATCTCTCTCCTACCTTGTTTCTCTCCCATTCCAGCCCGTGCTTACGTGTATAGTCAATCTCCCTCCAGATAGTCCCCAGAAACGGTAGCATCATCCTCAAAGTCTCATCGATACCCACGTTGAAATACCCACGTTGAAATACCCACGTTGAAATACCCACGTCACTTCACTCCACCTAATTTACATTATCTTCATTTGGGAACGTAGTGTGAATCTCATGAATATGTAACTTGTATGACGAAGGTGGATGGGAAAGATAGAAGAACGAGGCTCGAGAAGAATGGAGAGGGTCCTCCTGCCTAGGGGAAAGAAGCTGCTTGTTATAAAAAAGAGGTAGAAGGGACAAGTAATTGGATAAAATCAGTGAAACAAATGCCTCTACTCCCAAGTCTAGCCACGGAAATCAAACAAAAAAATGGAATAAAGGACCAAGGAAATAAAGCAGCAGGTACAAACAACACAGCCTCAGTCCACAATGGAATATTCTCATCTCTTCCATTCCCTCTTCGTTGAGTCCGTCGGTGTTAGATCTAATCGTCCTCGTCTGGTAGAGCATAGAAGTCATGCGGGCAGCTCCAATAGTTTATTCATCGTATCTTGGATAGAAGTTGAGAATGCAATGCCGTTTCTATAGTTAAGATGGCGATTCGCGAAAGAAAGGGGAAAAGTTAAGAAGTTACAGATCAGGTCACTACGAGAGGGGTGAGTAAGTTAACAAGAAGAAGAAGCTGCGTGTGGAGGTGTGATGAGTAGGAAGGAAGTAGTTTATCATGTCTAGTTCTACTCAAGATCTTCTCAGCCATTGCTATTGCCTCCCAATTTGAAACACAAAGTAAATCACTCACATATTGAAGACACCCACCAATCACTTTATCTCAGTCATCGCCTTAGAAACCCCATATTTTCATCCTCTTGTCGAGATCCCACACCCATACCAAAAGCGAACTGTCCTGCTATACCTCCCCTTCAACTTTCACGCAAAGTTTGCATATCTACCACTTGCTCTATTTTCTCTCCTCTCTCTTTATCTCACAAATCTCCCTAGTAGGCTTGCATGTGACTTTAACCTCCTTCTTCACCACTAGCTAGAAATCTTTCGACGAAGAATTTTGGAGCACATAGTATTAGATTCTACACTTGTGACGATGAGAAAGGTTGAATAAAATACCTCAGATATTTACATTAGGCTTGAAGTAGATGTGCGCGTAATTTGGAGCTTGATTTATGAAGAGGTGGAAGGAGATTGCTTGGGCCAGGGTTAGTTAATATGGTAGATTTGTATTGGGAAGGGAAGATGGAGAATATGATCAAATACTGCAAAGTTTGTTGGGAAGTACCGAAAAGTAGACGACTAGTAGTGAGTCTATGTACGTGACATGAGTAGTAGTCTTTCATCTCTATGAGACAGGATGCATGAATACACACACCATATCTCAGATGATCAAAGTAGCAATATGAAGGAATTTCCTCACAGGATGAGAACCAGCACATGCATCTGCGAACTTGGCGATTAATGGACCCGGAAAGATTACCAGAGGACGAAAAATAGCTTTATAGCTATGAGTGATAGCAAAGACGCATTGGTGAAGCAAAGTATGTTTCAATCTAAGTCAGAGTATTTGGGGTCTTTGAGATGAGATTCTAATGCTACTTGCGGGTGATGTTATGAGGGAGAAGATATCGAAGTCCCTTTAGATAAACCCTCAAATGAGCTCATTATGTATAGTATCGTAGGTGGAAGGACCTGAATCTTTGGAAACTTCAATATATCAAGATAAACGGAAGCTACTGAAGACTCAAATCAGTGGACGGTCTGTAATGAAAGAGGGAAACACCTACCCATAATCGAAAGGATGGAGAATGACCCCCAGATACATATCAATCCGCATAATTCTGAGCAATATAGACGATACATTGATTGCTGTAGCTTTGAATACGACTTAGATCACGGGATACGAATAATTCGTGTTTCTTGCAGCATCTAGTGAACTCAGGAACGAAGTTGCTGGATTTTAGTGAGATTATTTACTTGCTTACGTGTATGTGAGAAGTAAGAGATAGACAAGCAAGATTATGAATGGGTATTAAGAGTGTCTATCTAAACTATTTTACTTTGAAACAGACAATAAAAGAGGCAGATAGTAGAGAAAAAACACAGTTGAAGTCGCAGTTTGCCTATGTTTACGTTGTTACCTTCTTGCTTGCTCTGTAAAATGCCTAAGATGCAAGGATGAGGAAGTACAGACGTTGGATAAAAATCGTTGAAAAGCAGCTCAACTTTGCAATAGGAGGATTCAAAGTTGATGCAGCGGTCAAATCGCGGTTCTGACCTCAGTGGCCCATTGGTGGCTCAGATCTCAAAGTAGAGACCTAAAGATGAGCTGCAGCCATGATGTCATGTACAAATACGGTGTAATGTAGCCTGGTTGAACGTGTGGATTGTGAAATTGAATCTTTCTATAAAAGAAGGAAAATGGGTTGCCGAGGATGTCTTGTTGTGAGATCGCGAAAAGAAACGTAATTACAGATTATCTTTCGCCCCCTTTGATTTACTTCCAACCCTTGTATAATAATATTCGAGTTTGTCGGGCATCAAAAAGGTGAAAGAAGAGTTCATCGTGGGCTGTAATGGATAAATGGAGATAGCTTCGGTCATGAGGTGGAGGAAGTGAAAAAATCGGGTGGAAAGTTGACGTGATTAGGAGTATTTCTGTGCGTGTTGAGTTAGCAATTTGTATAAGAGAAATCAGAAATAGTGGCAAATTTAAAAGAGAATAGTCAGAAGTGGGAGAAAAAACAGATAGGGAGAGGACTGTGAGCCGAGAGTTAGAATTCCAGATTGGAGATCGTAGAACCACAATTGTACCAATATATGTGCATGTTTGCAGATGAGAGGCGGAACGGTGAATGTTAGACGGGCATTGATAGCCGGCAGAAAAGGAACAAAGAGACAACTTCATAAATTCGAAGAAGCAGAGCTCATGCGTTGATGGGAGTGTTGTAGCCATTCGCCGAGCGTTGGCTGCTTCGAGTATGCGACATATGTATCCCACTATTCGTTTCGAGGAGCTTTCAACTGAAACTTCTATCTAAGTATTCCCTCCCCCCGACTCACAATACGCGAACAGGAACGAAAGTGAAAGGGGCCGTAGATTGTTTACCGTTGATCGCAGGGTCCCTTATTGTACATCAAGATCGGGAATTGTAACGAGCGCGGATATCCACTCTCGAACAGATTTTATGTATCGGCAAGATAATAGATGTTTCTAGCTTCTCCTTTGTAGGGTTTTCCTATAAACTTTAGATTGAATTCTATTTTCCGCGTGCTATGAAGGCGTTTAGACACTCATTGTCGATTTTCGCATGGCCCTCCTCAGTGCCTCTCTCCCTTTATATTTAGCGATAGCTACTTGGAATATTGAGCCGGCGAACTTTAGAGATTTGGCAGTGGATAATGATCAAGGGATGCGATCTTGTGTGAAGGGTTGCTGCTCTTAAGAAATTAGCATTTTGAATAGTAAACGAGAAAGGAGTATTCGTCTGTGCAACTGCGCAGTGAATACCTGAGACCGGAGGATGATACTGAGATCAGATGAGCTCCAATTCATCCGCGGATTATGCTCGATAGTGTCGTCTGGAAGGATGAAGGTCCGACTCTTGCATAGATCTTTGCTGCTAAGATGAGAAGAAGGTTCCTGATGTATAGATGCTAGAAATGGACTGGTTTGGGGTAGAGACTGATGAGTATTGCCGAATAGTCAAGAATAGAGACAAGTAGGGCATCTAATGTGCGCCAGGGCACATGCAATCTGTTCTGGATGTTTAGATGGGCGTAGGGAGGAGATACCTACAGAGGTAGACGGTTTCACTCAGCATGGTAACGAGTATCGCTAGCGTTGCAACTATTATTGTACAACTCCTCCCTATGAGGCTTCGATAAGATTGGTGTGTTGATGATAAATATATGTTGTAGAAGTTCCTTTGCAATATCAGTATGTCCTTTAAGTACTAAACAAAGACATGATAACAATTTTCGATCTCGAGCGTGTGGTTCAAGAGTGTATAGAATAATTAGTAGGCATGGGTGGGAAGTGTCGAGGTTTGCTTAGGGAAGGAGCGCATTCTCCTTAGAACCATCTTCGCCAGTTCGTGCCTTTACTTTCCAGACCAGTCTAAAAGACCGCCCGACCACTCATATTTCGTAAAAGTAAAGTCATGAATTCAAAAACTAACCACGCCATACTCTGAGTATCTTTAAGAATGTAAAAACATACCATGCATTTTTGATAGTATTATAAAGTCAGAGGTACGAATCTCCCAGGATTATCATGAGAGAATCGTGGAAGCTATGTGCAGGCAGGATCACATCATTAGTAGTTCTACCGGATATCTATGTTACGGTTCCCCTCTTCTAGTCAATAATCTAGTCTTGTACCTAGATATAGTGATCAAGCTCAAGTTGCAGGCTTATGCAACTTTCAAAAAATGTCGCTATACTTCCATGTCTAGATGACAGAAACCATCTCTTTCCCTTTGGATAATATGTTTCTTCTAACCTTTCAAACAACTTCTCTTCCATTATTGAGATAGAAAATCTCAAGAAGAAAAGACTACTTAGTACGAGACAGAATCAAAGTGACTAGATCATTTTATATGATTTTCCAATTTAGCATCTCGCAATCTCATCCCTATAAGTTATACAATGTATACCCACAATTTCCACTGCGCCAGAAGAAAAGCCAACAAAATAATAAGAGAGTGACCAAATAAACAAAATAAGAGAGATAAAAACTCGAGAAGAAAAATCACATCCAACGATCAAAACATGAAGCCAGTATTCCAAGCATATCCTACGTATGAATACAGATAGAATGTTGATTCGAAGTCGGCTGCCAAATTATCAATGCCTCCCGAGAAGAGGTAGACAAGACGGATGATGCTTTGTCGGTCTGAAGCAGATGGTATAAATGTCGCCAATTTGCATAATCGTTATCGTGAGTTGCTATGCTGCGCTGCGAGAACTTGTAAAGCTAGCGTATGTAAGAGTAAGGACAGCAAGTTTTGCGTGTTTGAATGATGAGTTGGCTGGCTGATTGCGGTCGCTGAGTCGAAAGATGAAATTTTTGATGAAAAAAGTGACTCTTAGACTGGTGTGAATGGAACACCTCGTTGTGGCATGAAAGGCCTAAGTCTATAAGGTATGAGAGCAGGCGCAGTGTACCCGGTGTTTTGATCCCATAGATCTAAATTGTCATATCCGCTTTCCATCCACGCTCTCAACTCATGCAGGAATGTTTCTCCACGGTATCTCTTGTTAAAAAAACGTGCCACTCCTCTTTTGAGGTCTTGAACATTCTCTCGAAGATCATAAATCTTCAAAAGATCTACAACAATCATGGAGATTTCTTCGCGAGTTGCCTCTTCTCCTGTGGTAAGGTTTAGAGGCAATGGCACAAATGCTATCGGAAACTCGCGGACTGTGAAATCACGGACTCGACGCTGCAAGAAATCGCTAGCGACAATCTCTTGAGGAGTGACTCTGTGGAAACCGCCGCCGATAGGAGAAGATAGGAGTCGATAGAAGTATATTTTTGTGCGGTCAATATTTTGACCCATCAGGAAAATATACAAAGAGCGATCCTGTTGGAAAGTGGACAAACTTGGCGGGGCGAGGGCCACCAAGCGATGCGCACCAAAGTTGAGAAAGCGATTGATAATTGTGAAAGGTGCCCTACAGTAGGGACATGTGTAGTTGTTATTCTTCCATGTTTTCAAACAACAATAGTGAAAGTCTTGATGACCGCAAGATGGTATTGAGGCGGTCGAACAAACAGTTATCTCGCATGTTCGGCAGTCCTCATCCTCATGAGGATTGGAATCAAGTGATGCGAGACAGATCACACATTCTCTATCCATCTTTTTGGAGACTTCGGCCGATGCCATGTTGGGTTGTGAAGGGATCGTTGAATTGAAAGATTGTTAATCCACGCTTCTGTGAGCGTGAAACTTACTGAAAGAAAAGTAGAAGAACGTGGTAGGGAAGTCGAGTTTATATACTCAGCTTTGTATTGTATTACTAAGAATTCAGGTTGCTCACCTACTTTGAATTGATTCCGCTTGGGCAGGTCCCAAGCTTGCCGATCCAGCGTTTTGTATGCTAAGTCTAATCGAAGTAAGTATCGAAAGTCAAATTTACCAGCAAGTATGAGTACTCAGAGGTCTACTATACTAGACCTGTTTCTTTACCTGCAGAAGAGAGCTAAAAATCAAGGATTACTTTGACGCGATTTATTGCCTAAAGAACTCCTATGGACGGCAGGAGCAATCGCATTCGGATTAGTCGGTAATCGTATGCCAGCACCAGGGATACTCGGAGAATTTTCTAGGATTAACGAACTTGCTAGCCTTACTGGAATGTATACAATAACACGGTTATCTTTGATCATGCAGAAACTCAACTAGCCGACGATTATAGTTGTTACGCTGGTTGAGAGTGTGACAACCCCATTAATTGAATTCAATTAAGTCTTGAGAGGTACCCCTAGTTGAGGACATCTTAATGATGTTCCAAAATCCAAATCATTTGAGGATAATACCGCGTCAGGTCCATCGTCGCAAACTGTTGATGCTTGGATTCCATCAGAAAGATTGATAGTGGTCAGCATAGATTTCTTTGGTGGGGTATTAAATTGTTCAATTGCCGGACCCTACATGGGGGTACCTAGACAATTATTATGCACAAGTGAGGAGGTCAGAATCCGCTTAGCTAGTCGAATAAATGGGCGTTCTCAGCACAAAGCTCTGTATATTTAATTGAGATGATATTTCCAATCCATCGAGATTGGGACTATTGATCTCACAGGGAACACGTATCAATTTTGTCTCTTCTATATATCACACATGCGATATTCTGGGATTCTGCGACAGCACCCCTCAAACAAAAGAATATCGAAGAGAAACGCCAACCCAATGGGAATTCCCGCAGCACTAAGCCTAATACTGTAGGAAGTCTCTACACTATTTCGTTGGTGGAATGGTCCTAGACTACTGACATCTACTGGTGTTTTCTACTATTCCCGAGATTTAATCATTATTGGCGATATAAGCAATGTAGGTCGAAGTCCGTCTGAATTCGACTTTTTGTCAATCAGTCTGCCACCTTTGGATAGTTATGGTTGGGACATTAGTACCATCGAAGGAATCGCTAAAAAACGGATTTTATTGGAATGGACATGGTTACCATTGGACCAGCCATACTGTTAGGTCTCTGGCATCAAGCTGATTGTATATTATATTCCTATTCAGGTTAGCAACTTCTTTTCGCTCTTTTAGATGCGGAGGAGGTTTAACAGCATCATGGCTGTGGATCCAGAATACAAATCGATCCAATATAGTCGCATTTATCATATTTATTTCTAGCAACAATATATAAAGAATGCTGTGTTCGCAAATCAAAGCTGTCCTAGTGCTGTTAGATCATCGTAGTCGAGCAAGGAAACTTCGAGTGGATTACTATCACAACAAAAGGCATGATCTAGACTCTGAACCCCAAGCGGACTTGGACCCTGTGTCTAGCATATCCCTGCCAACCTTATGGGCTCTCTCCGACGAAGGCTTCAAATGGTAGGAGTCGTTCGCGATGCAGCTCTGCCCAGCTGGCGCTCAGCCTACGATGGAGGGATGATAATAGATGATATTATAGCTTGAACAATCAATGCTTCCACATTGCAACCAATTCAATCATAGTTTTTGCATATTTAAATAGTTATACCGGCGAACATTTCACGACAAATCTTCATTTTGACAACGGAAAGAACCAGGGGGCTCTGCACTACCTTCAAGATCGACATAAGTAGCATTATTTCGCTTCGCTCCATGGGGAAAGCGGCGATGGGAACTAAACCTTTCCAGAATGTGGATTCCTTCTCCGCATACTCACGGCCCATTCGTATCGTTTTTTAAATTTGTTTTCAGAACGATTTTTTGACTAATAGCTCGCCCTGAAATTTGTGGATCTATAAGTTATTAGTCAATGCAGCCGGCAAAATGTAGCTCTAAATCACTTAAAAAATTGATCCGAACGGGCTCTAAGTTAGCCTCTACACTTCATATCCACATTTTATTCCCTAGGATATTAACGTCTTGTGTGTTTTGATTTTGGACATTTCAGCCGTTGAGGAGTTTGGTTCGAAGGAAAGTTTTGAGGCACACAACTTTAAGTCATCAAAAAGAATAGCTGGATTAGTACACATCGAACGCACACTTGGAGAGTTAAGAAGTTGTCTAGGTAACTAATGGTCATGACTCGCAAGATCTGTATTGAAATGGGCGATCATGAAGACGTGCTTTCACGTGGATCCTTGCGTTATATGTGATACATGTTATCAATAATATTTGCCGATGAAGAATCTACTCCTCGTCAACTCCAACCAGAAATTTGGAAGCTCTACCAGGACTAGAATACTGAACACATCTTCTTTTGTATTGAATGAAAAGGAAAAGGATAGGATGATGGCTAAGCATCTGTTAGGTCCACGTCATAACGCATTCTGTCTTGAGGAAGCGCTCATCACAAGCTGCAAAATCTATGTTTCAAGCATGGGGCTTTTCGATCTATTTCTTACACGCTCGAGCTCCATCTTCATCACTGGTCAACATGATATATAGAAAATGTCTTGGATCTCATTACTAGCTAAACTATAGAAATACAAGTGAATAGACCCAAATATACATAAAATCCCAGCCTACAACATTAACAACGTACCGCATGAAACCGAAACTACTATCCACCACCTGTAAAGCTTATGATAAGAGCTATACCCTTCACCGCTCGCTTTCCCTGATGATATCCAATTATCTTTCTTCTTCCATGGCTGTACAGTAGGTATTGGTATCAACTTTGTTGATAAGTGCAAGTGCTTAGTTCTATTGTGGTTGTATTGTTCTTGATCATTATTATCTATGGGAAGCTAGTACTTAATATACGGAAGCGCTAGCGCGACGCTAGCTAATACAGTGCCATCTTTGATCACATGATCGATATCCCGACAGTAGGCTTCATGGAATCTCTTAAAGTATTATAGATATCATCAGAACCATGCACAGAGAGTTGTCGCGACATGATCAGATATCTAGGGGCGATAGAACAGCAGAGCCGTTGTGAACAAGATCGTGATACTCATTCATGATCGCTCATTTCATTCCTTTCGTCTGATTCAAAGACGGAGGCAAGGAAGCGAGAGCATTGATGATGATTTCTAGAGTTTATAAAAATCCGGGGGCTGTGAAGTCTTGCGCCTAGCTCTTGTGTTCTTCCAATTTCTTCGAAGTCCTTTGCAAAACTAGATTTCTTATGCAATCGGGTGATTGAATTGCACTATAATCGAAACTGATAAAGAGTTTCATGCCATCAAAATTTGAAATTCGCATTTTAAGATTCATAAGCCCTTTGTTGAATGTATTACTGTCCTAGGAAAGCACGAAAAGTTAGCTTATATGTAACAACATCACAGTTTTCAGACCAAAGATTAGATACTTACACGAGAAACTTTCTTCTCAACCTATACAATCAAATTTCTCATCTTATGTCTTGCTCTTTCTCCCAGTCAAGTCCCTTGGAGGATTTCTTGATAGAGGATTTCTTGATGGATGTCCTCACGAATTTAGTAATTTTATTAAGTTTGCGAAAGAGTTTTCCGCCCCGACCAACTTCTGTACGAGAGGCATCCTCAATACCATGATTCTGGTCATCCTCTGCATTGTCATCTTCCTCCAAGCTAGTAGTCGACTGCTCCATTCCATCCAGAATACCTTGCAAATTAGCTTCATCAAGTTGAACGGAATTCAACTGGGAATGGGAAATTTTAGCTCGTGTCCCCCAAGATCTCATCCGAGATAAAAGACGGCGACCTCTTTTATTTGAAGAAAAATCGAGGTTATCTGGACATTCTCTGACGGTACATCTTGTGTCATGATCACCAAAGACCGGGGAAGACTTCAAAGAGGCAGGAGTGGAAGATAGCGTGACCGGTCTAGATAAATGTCCCAAATGCGCAACGGATGAAGGTATGGTCGCCTGTGACACATCATTTTGATCAAATGAATGAGCAACGAAAGAAGGGGCAGTTACCTGTGGCACATTCTGATCAAGTGAATGCGCAATGGGCTGTGCTGCGGTCGTTGGAGATGCAGTACTAATACTCTGTGCAGTATTGGAGCTGCGAAGATCTTCAGAATTGAATCTCATGTAAGCGAAACTCGGTCCTGATGATCGTCCGAGACCAGGTCTAGGAGGCCTCGCTGGTGGAGATGTGACGGTATTGGAATTGCATGACTTCCTTTCAGGATAGGTCACATTGCGATTCCATTTTTCCAACGTCTGACAGAAGCTTGTCAAGAACTCACGGGCCGAATGCAAGAACAAATCGGTATAATCATCCAAAGTATTTCTAATGATGTCTACCGCATATTCTTTCTTCTTCTTCTGTCCCTCGGTATTACTCTCCATCTGCAGCGTAGCTATTACAGCATATTCAAATGAATCCCCGTGATCGGGTACTACTGTCATCTGCTTTAATGCTTGAATCTCGAGTTTTATCCAAGCACGCATGAGACCCTTAACATCAGGATCCTGTTTAAGAATTTGCTTGCAGATCTCGGTGGAGTCAAGGGCTTGCCCTGATCGAACAGAAAGACAGTACAACTTCTTTTCGTAAACTTTTCGTCGAAGGGCGACAAGATCCCTACGAGAGTACGGAACGCTCTTAGAATCAGCTTCTTGAGCTGAATATTGATGCATCTGATGATCTATTCTGCGATTCTTGATACGTATTTTGACGTATTCAAGCTCGAGTGGCTTGTCGACAAAACGACCTTCCAAGACAGTCATGCGACGGAGCTTCATGGTGTCTATGTTGCATTTAGGACACCTGGGATCTTCATAAAATTTATCTTTTATGCAATCAAAGTGAAAAATGCAATCGCATGGGTGCAATACAACAAATTGTCGAGCTTTATGAATATCCCAATAGCATTCCTGACATTGTGTGTCTTCGTCCGTGCTTTCTTCATGTGTTGGCACATCATCTATGGCCACAATGGAAGGACTTCCATCATTGGAAGTCTTTTTTTTGACGAAGAAAAATGCATTCTTATGCTTTGTTAAGTTCGTTTGGATGAGGCTTTCATGATCCACACTCGGCAATGAGGTACGAGACGTATCCTCATTGTTCTTGAAAAATTGGTCATTCATTGTGAGTGCTTCGTGGGTTCGTTGGGGAGTTTTCTAGGGAATAATGAGTATCATGCGCAACAAAGTTCCAGATGTTGTACGTACAGATATTTGTTCTTGCGATTAATGTTTTGGTAGTAAGGTACAAGCAGAATGCTGAAGTTGAATAGGAGAGAATATTGCCACTGATGAGATGGAAACAGCAGAGGGTATGGATGATAATGGTATGATAGAATCTCAATTCGGGATTGATGAAAAAGAGAATGATATGTTGGGCTGATGATCAATGTTAAGAAGTTTGGATTATTGTAAGGAGCATGCTAAAGCAAGAGCTCCGGATAAAACTCGGTTCGTGTAAAGCAGTCGATCTATTGATTTGCCGGGGATCTCTCACACTTCGAAAAAAATGTTATTGAATTGAACGGATACTGTGCTGGATCTGAAAGAGGACTTGATTTAAGATAATTGGGATACGGAAATGTGTTAATTCATTAGGGAAATGTGGAAGTATACTTGATATGTTATGGAAATCGCACTCGAGGGTCCTCCTGGGCCTTCCCATTATCCGCGCGGAAAGACCCTTCGTGGTTGTCAGCCAGTGGTCTCGCTCAGTACTAATTTAGACTGCTTTAGTCCTGATTTCTGTAGCACTATAACCTCAATCAACGGTATATGCAGGAACCCTCAGTACGTGAACGCTCACAGGGGATCGCTATGAAAACAAGAACTAGTTTTGGGTCTAAATCACTAAGCTACTCAATTAGTCAACGTTTTACGCACCTACGGAATAAAATAACCTTCCATCGCTAAGTATAGTGACTTAGAGCGGCAAGGACCAATATTATCTCAATGTATCCCTGCTACCTCATTGAACAGAGGAAAGTGAGAGAGGTACTAGGTGCCACGTAGAATAGCTCACTCCTCATCTGTAATCGGAAACAAAATTCTACTATCCCGAATAACTTGTCTACAAGTACCTTGAGATCAATTGAGATATCAACATTGAAGTCGAATTAAGGAAAATGTCCGTGCAGATTAACGGCTGTGGCGTTTTCGGTTATGCAGGGGAAACGGCATCTAATTCGGATCGCGATCGCCAAATAATATCATAAACAAATATTCACAGCAGCATCATCCCTACGTGAAGAAATGTTGTGAGAGCATACAGGAGCAATTAATAATTTATTTGGTGACAAAATTTCTATTATTCTAAGGGTGTATCAATATAATAATGGACATACTCCTGCTTAAGTAATTCTTAGACTATTTTAAATCAGAGGATAGCTATTATTCAATCATGTTCTGCATCGATGGAAATCGACAAGTCGACCCGAAAAGCGTTTTCGATCAACGACGGGATCTACTGCCAAGTGTCAGATCTTCACGCTATGATCATTCCTGCAAGGCCATTCGCTGACGAGTCTGCCGGGAATAGGAGATCATCGGTATTTACCCAAGCTTGATTTAGATTTTAGCTACCCCTCGCCGAGAATCTCCTGTAATGCATGAGTTCTGGATAAAGATGAATGCACTCAGTATAAAGATCCGCTGATCATATCTAACGAAGGCATAAGTCTGAATGAATCGTCATAAACTGGCTTAGCTTAGTTATTAGTGGCGAAAAAAGAATAACTCCCATATATACCGTCCCAAGCTCCCGTAATAATAGATTTGAGATTTCTTCTTCTTTTATTCGTTGCTGAGATACACATGTCCTAGAAGATAAATCTACGAAGCGCTTTTGTCCTCAATTCACCCATCGCACTCGTCAATTTCTTTTTACCATCAATCTGCTCCTTCGATTAGTTCGTTATCAGAAATCAATTCGATCGGCTCCAAAGTGTGTTTCTAAGTCCAAATATATAACTATGGGCCAACGACAGATCTTTAGAATGTATTCTCCCATAAGCGGCGACGACTAGATCGAAATGGGACTCAAATCATCTTCAATTAGTAAGACTGATTTTCTCAAGCGAGTTCGTCCCACAAGCATTAAGAAAAATGGGGGGATCAATTACACTATTACGTCAAGCCAAAGAAGCAGATTTCTGAACGCCGGTAAGTTAAAACCCATATTTTGCTGTGATGGGCTAGGGTGAAAAGATCTCCAAGCTTTCCAAGACTCCTTACTAGTTTATATAAAAGATATCGCAACTAGTAATGTTTCGCAATCGATCTCGGGACCAAATCGGGTATTTTCTCTGTTCTGGTCTTTGACTGACAAGAAATTGGTAATATTTTGTAACTTTAAAATTGCGAAAATAAATTACCAATTGATATGGATGAAGCTTTACTACTTCCAATCATTACTGTGTTTGTATGAAGCGCTTTAAGAATCAAAACTGAATACTGTTGTCAAAACAGTCAGATTTAAACTCCCTTGTATAATGATTAAAGCCGACTCGCTGTCGATATGCACCCACCCCGACACGAACGAGAAACTTCTGCCCACTGTCCAGTTAACTCAAGTATTTTCAAAGAACTCTTGCTTTACTATTTCAAAGAATACAGCCAACTTCTACATTCACAGGCAATAAAACACCAGTACCCTATGCATCACCCCATGAAGCGATAATCTACTTGTGCAGCCATAAAGAAAGAAATTTCGAGCTTAGGTGCACATGCCAAAAGATGGTGAACTATCAGAGGGGTGGCTTGGCATTTATTTTGCGGCAAAGTTGCACGCTTTCGGGAAGCCTTGATATAAGAAGCATAGCTTTGGTCTACGGTGGATTCTCATACTTTCTTGGACACGCGGCCATTTAATTCAATTTTGTACGAAATATAATTGAATGAGGTTCAATCGTCGACTTAGTAACCTCTCTCAAAGATTGTTCGAATCATTTTTTACCTACCTAATTCCAGACATTTTTCCAGAGGACCGATGGTATAGCTAGTTACAGAGATCAAACGCTGGAGAAAACAGATTCTGAGTTGAAGAGACGCAACCAGGACTTCGCTCCATACATTTTCAAAATCTTGAGTATGAAGACTATTTATTTATTTATTAGGATTAAGCTTTTTTCACTGCAATAATTACAAAGTGCCACTGCTTAGACGTTCTCTGCTTTCATATCCTCGAAACTTCACAAGCGTAAGATGGAAAGAAATTCTATTTTCACTACCATAAGCAAAAAAGATTATTGTTCTCAAGTTTTTTAGAATTTGCAATCATTACCACCACTACTTCAGCAAACACTTCTCAGAAATACATACCCGACCCAAAAAACCTCATAATAGGACTTGAATTGCAGATTGCCGGAAAGTGCAAAAGGTGTGTATAGTGACGTATCACCAAATGTGCTTACCTCCCGGTATGTTAGTTGGTGAAGAGTTATACCTTCAACTAGTTGGAAAGGAAAGAAGGGCAAGAGGTTATGACAAGGATCAAGATAGGAAGCAGGGGGAAATGAAAATCGCAGATGAGTTTTTTAAAAGGCATGTGATGGGCCGAGTCTTTTAGAAAGGGCCATTCATTAGCCAGGTAGAATCTTTTCAAAAAGTCGGTGACACAGTTCCCCTCTGCCGAATCTTTTGCGCTTGGACGTTCAATTGATAAAATAATAACTCGCTAGCGTGAAGCCGTAAACTGTTTGTATAATGAGATGTATTGCTAGCGTGAATTTGTAAATAGTTATCGTAAATTATGACTTTATAGTATACGGTTACTTGATTGAATGGGAAAGCCTACAGAGGCAGAGATATATTCGAAGAGGCCGGATATCATTTACGGACAGAATATGTGGGTTGAGTTGTGCAGGAAGGGATGTAGGGAAGGGTGTCGGGAGGGGCATTGATGACGAGTTTGTAATAGCCTTATTTGTTATCGTGTTCATTCTCAGGACAAAAGCGGCTTTCTGATTAGAAATTATAACTAAGGATACCTACAATGGTGGGTAAGTGTTTCCATTTTTCCGCATCGGCAAATGCGATGGAAGTTGAGTATAGCCAGGTATGTCTCAGTTGCGAGTCATGAACCAGCGAGGATCCAATTATATTTCGTTGAGTAGTCAACGTTTTTTGTTCACAGTTTATTGTCGTCGTCGCTCAGAAATTCCAAGTTAATGCGAAAGTCAAAAGTTAACTAATTTAACCCGCACATTAGTCAATAGTATGCATCCACCGAGATGAGCATCCAGATGATCGCCACTTTATGACATAATTCCAAACTACATAGAATGTCTCCATCTCTTTCGCTTGACCAGATAAAATCGTGACTTGATAGATAGAATCCAGTCACCAGACCCAAACCGGCATCATAACGCTTGGAGGGTTCAGAGATCAGAGGTTGGACTAAGAATGAAAGAATGGGAAGGGATAATGAAGAAAAAATCAGGCAGAAACTGAATTAGACATGTTTAGGCAAACACTGAACGAAAATGCAGAGATCAGAGATTAGAGGGTCCCAGAGAAGTGAAAATTGATGGAGTGCATGGTCCGTGGTATTGTGATGAGCTTATTCAACAACTGATAGAGAATTGTGAGTATCTGAGATGAAAAGATTCGATGATAAATCAGTCAATACATCCTACATGCACAGACTTTATACATGACATATCTAGACTCCGGCTCGCATCTATTGTCAAATTAACGTTAGAACGTCAGAGCTCTCTATCCAGGAAGAAAAGAGGCTCAAGGTAAGTGCATGTATATGTAAGTATTATGTTTTAATTGGGTATTCTTAAAGTAACTCAGATCTAGACTTTAAAGTGTCTTTTGGTATTTTCAAATGTATAGCAAAACATGCATTTCTTCACAAACCATTCGCGCAGCTCATAACCAGGACTCCGGGGCGCGTCTCTTTTGCGTTCCTCCTTAAGTCTCGCTCTTAAGTTGCAGCCCTTACTTTCTCCTCCTAAACCTACTGCCGACCCCTGGTCCACCCTTCGCTCCACTATTCCTCAACTTCAACCTCTTGTAATTCTGCAGACTGCCTGCAGTAGCTTTGATCTTCCTGGCAGCCTTCTTAACCTTCCCTTCCTTGTTAGCCTCCCGATTTTTCTTTTTCGTCTTATCCTGAT